ATAAAATAAAAATAAATAAATAATGATAATAATAATAATCACCTTACGTGTACAATTCTGTGAGCCCGGAGGCTCACAAACCTCTTTCGATCCTAACTATTTATTTCCCCTAACTCGATCGGTCTTGATCTTAATCATGAGCCGCCCCCATTACCAACTCTGAATAGTCGTAGAATTGTACATGTAATGGTAACTTTTCCGAGGTATCGTGGAGGTTCGAAACTACCCTTACTATTAACTCAAAATCTAAAAATACCCATGTAATAAAATTCTCTCTCATGGACCCATTAATATTTTTCCAACACACGTTTGTTTTGATTGAAGTGTTAATGGATATGGACATTGAGGTGGGGTCATTTTGTGGTGAGCAATACAGTCCCATCTCTCTCTAACATAATCCCTCTCTTTCTTTTATTTTCTTTTTGACAAAACACAATCCCTTTTTGTTTCTCGCTTTCTTTCCACTTTGAGAGACCCAGACAAACAAATGGACTAGAGCTCGTCTGAGTTGTATTGGACCTTTCTCCATCAAATGAAATGGAATACAACAGCGGTGAAAACAAGTTGGGTTTGGCTGGACTCGGATCCGACCTGATAAAGTGTAAAGATCGGACTCGAACTAGTCCCTAGAATTTTAGGGCCATGCTGGCCAGGCCAAACCTCCTAGCCCCTTGCTACTAGCCCTACTGCCAAATCGGGTTTTGTCAAGGTCAAAATCAAAAAAAAAGTTATCATATTATACTGAAATTAAAAAAAATGTGTTTATTCAACTTCTAATGTAAAAAAATATATTGCATATATTACATTTGAAAAATATATCTTATATATAGGAAGAAAAAGTTGATATATGGCGTCAACTTTATACTCTAGAAGTCCTTTGTGGCTCAAAAACCTATCGGAAAACGTTGTTCCACCTTTGGAAAATTCACTAATTGATCATATGGACTTGATATATATATATATATATATATATATATATAATAAAGTAATGATCATATGAGACCCTCCCCCTACCCATATGTGTAGGACGTTCAAAAGATCATCATTAAATTTGACACAGATCTCTAGAAAAGTTATCACATAGGTGTGAGACTTGATTTTTCTAGATATCTATGTCAAATTTAATAGTGATTTTTTGAGCGTCCTACACATATAGGTAGGGAGAGGGTCTCATAGGATCATTACTATATATATCAAATACAAAAAATTGTGTACTTTGTAGCACATTATTTGGACCATCCATTTTTAGTTTTCTTAAATATTTATAGATTTGCTTGATGTATACTATTTTTAGAGTTTTAAATTTTATAGGCAAAAGTGACACAGATTTTAAGATTATAAGAACTTTCCGTACCAAAATTACATCTTCCAAAGGTGCACCTTAGTTTGCTTATTTAAGGTCAACACCTTATGCAAACTGCACTCTTATATAATACATTCTATGTACATAAATATATGTAGTGGGGGATTCCCATGACCACAACTCAACTCAAGCCCACCTGGTTAGGTTGGACTAGACTTGAACCCGACTCAATTATGCTTCTGTCCCCGAAGCTTTTCTCGCTAGTGAAATAGCTTTTAATTTAGGGATCGCAATTATGGCTATGTTGTACATCATTTCGAAGGATATAAAAAAAATTAATATTTAAATATAAAAAAGGGTTGTATATTATAATACTATTCACTTTTGGTACAAGAAAGTTATAATCAATTTTAGGCATTCGATATCAAATTTGACACATTGAAGTGCATCACAACATCCTTAAAAAATTATTTTGGACTATGTACTTAGTCATTGACACATTCCTAATCATCCAATTTTGCATCTAATTGTCAATAATGATTGTGATCTTCTTATACCAAAAAATAAAAGAAAGTTTATATAAAGTTACAACCTTACAATATAGAATTATGGTGCACCTCAAAAATCCATTAGAAAATGTCATTTTGATGTTGGAAAGCCCTCTAATTGATCATCTTGACATTGAAATATATGTAAATGAAAAATAAATAAATAAATAATTTAAGTCTAAAAAATAGCGTGTATTGCAATAATTATTTGGACCATCCATTTTCAATATTTTCATGTATTATTAGATCTATTTGATTTGAACTATTTTTGGAGTTTAAAAATTTTATAATTAGAGATAAAACCAGATTTTCAAGTCATATTAAGAAATTTTTATACAAAATTACATCTTATGATAAGATTTAGAGGCTCTAATTTGATCATTTAAGCTTACAACTTTATGCAAAGCACACCAAAAAAATAAAGGCAAAATCTCTTCATATTTCTTTTTTTTAGGTTTCAATTCTCAACAAACCCAAAGTTTCAAAACATATCTTGCGGCATAGAGATCACATGTATCATATCTTTTAATCTCCTAGACCAACTTTACCCCATCTTTTTAATCCATCTCTCTCTTTTTTTTAATATTAAAAAAATATTTTTAAAAAATATTTTTTCAATTTTAAAAAAAAGAAGAAGAGATCTAACGAGAAACATAGGAAGAGAGAGAGAAGGGATTTTAGAAAGGAATAAAAAAAGGGTGCAGTTTATATAGAACTGAGGCTCTAAACAAATCAAAGTAAAGCGCATCTTCAAATAGTGTCGATAAATGTGGTTTCAATAATGAAAATTTTTGTGATAGCGTTAAAATATATTGTCATCTTTAAATTGAAATTTTAAAGCTTTAAAAATAGTGTTGATCGAGCTGATCTGTGAAAAATTGAAAATCCTGAAACAAAAATACGTTATAAGACGCATTATTTTCAAAACTTGAAATCCATATTTTCTCATATCCATACATCTTGATGTCGAGATGATCAATTTGAAGATATTTGAGCATCAAAACAACATCTTCTAGTAAAGCTTTTGCTGTGGGCTCTAGCATGATTGTTTAGAGCATCGGCTCCATATAAACTTTATTTTAGAAAAAATGATGTCTTTGGAACTTTATTTGGACTATAATTGTAAATTAAAGTTAATTTAAGGGTTAAAAGATAGAATACATGATATCTCTATACCTAAAAAAATGAAACTTAAAAAAGAAGTGTAAAAAGATATTGGGTCTGGTGACTTAAAAATAATATATATATTGTAAGGAGATATTTTTCAAAAATTAAATGATCGGATATTGGGTATGTTGAAAAGTGAAATTTTTTTTAAAAAAAGTGGACAGACATATTTTCTCAAAAATAAATGATTCAGTATACACGTGCCAGCAAATGAAAGGTCAGTATGGATATTCTTGGAAGAAAGCGGTTCATTTTCCTGGATCTATCATTGGCATTGAACAATGGACTTCACCCAATTTACGTGCAGTATACGCCAACCTCATATTCTATTCCTTTTGCACAGTAAATTGGACCATTTGCATTCGAGCGGGACAGGCAGCGGCCGCCTCTCTCTCTCTCTCTCTCTCTCTAATCAATTCATA